CTACTGGTTAAAATCAAGAAAAATTTACGCTTTAAAACTAAATGTTAAACAACTTAAAAACGATTTATTTTTGGTATAGGAACATATGTATAATCAAAAAGTAACGAATTGAAAATTGCCTTTTCACTAGTGAAATAAAAAAGTGGGTTTCCATCTGAAAAAAATGATTTATGATAATTTTTTAATCGTTAATTCCATGATAGCTGCGGCCATTATTATATGACATTCGAACAATTTAATTTTTGAAATTAATAGCCACATGTCTTCTCTTTATGGCACAGTGGCTGTGGTAATCACTAAATTTGACGTTTAGACGATACACATATTTTTGACAGGCAATTTTTTTCGTCTAAAAATTTTAAATATTTTTTTTTCTCAAAAAAGGTTAATGTTCGATATAGAGTATTATTTAATATCAAAATTCATAAAATTTTACACAGAATTTAAGTATGTAATAAAAAATGGGGGTATACATTTAAAATAAGAAAGTTGCTGTCAACTTCCGGTATTTCCGGAGGTGCTGCCATATTGAAAATATTTTTAATCGATAGATCTCGTCGTGAATCAATGATATGAAAAAAATCTCCGATTTAGAAATTGTAGTTCTCTAGAAACTTCTCATGCGCGCTCAGCCTGGGACACCCTGTATACTTTAGGTTGAAACTTTACAAAATTCCTGTCTTTTATTATAGGAGCTACAGATGCCCGCGCACTGTTGCCGGTCCCGTAGAAAAAAATTGAAACTTGGTAACCCCTATTTGTGGCTAGTGATAAGCACCCTTATAACATCATTACAGAATAAAAATAGCTTTAATTTGACATATAAATGATCATTTTTATGAGCGTAATGTCGTCTTCAAAATCAGTTATTATTATTATTAATTAGAAATAGTTGCGGCAATTTTTTGATAGGCGATTTGTTAAAAGTGTTTTCCCTATTCATCAATAAACATAAAAATTACGTCCTGCAGTCGGATCTTAAACTATGTATATCGTTTTCTGTTTATATATCTTCGGTCTTCGGTATCTTCGTTATAGAAACAAAGTTTACAGAATTAAACTTTTGTGGGTAGAACACTCCGTAGTATCCTGTAGTATAGAGGTTTGTCGACTTAGGTATATTATTTCTGTGCAGGTAATCCTACTATAATTTAAAACTTGGATTTACGATTCATATACTTTTATGAGATACCAACTTGAAATTATGAGATACCAACATAAAAAAATTAAAAAATTCAAAATTAATATTTTTTAAGGAAGTTTTTCTATCAATATTATTTAATTTATAATTTAATCGTTTAATTTGACATGGGTTCGTGCTAAATCGACTTGACACAGGTATAGTTATTGGTACGTCTTATCTCCAAACGGCATACATGTTCAACCTTGTTCTGCTTCCGGAGGCCATCCACTTCATTTCCGATTTCATTTAAAAAGGCAACAAAGTGTGTTTATGCGTATGTAAGAGAGTGATAGAGCGCTAAACTGAAGAAAAAAATCAGCCAGCTAAAAAAACATGTGCTTCGACACCAAGGTCCTGATTTTAGTAGTACCACGTTCGCATATCGAAGGTACTACTTTAAAGTTCAATTGTTCAGGCTCGTACGCTCTTGAATCGGATCGAAAAAATCATTATTCGTCAAGGAAAATGTATGCCGTATATGTGTGTGTATGTGCTTATTTTCAGTGGCGTATCTTCAAATTTAGGATTCACTTTGGGATATGCGATTATCGAAAAAAATATTATATATAATTTAGCATTACTGTTTCGCTAATCTATACTAATATATAAAATCCTTAAGTGACTGACATACTGATTAATCACGATCCTGCTCAAATCACTCAACGTAAGAAGCTCAATTTTGGCATACAGGTTGATTCTAGGGTGTAGAGGTTCGATAAGAAGGGATTTTTCGAAATTTCAGTTTAAACACGTATGTTTTATTTTGTTTTTTACATATTTTAAGATTTTTTAAAAATGTATACAGGGTGTTTCGAAAAATCTGGTCATTGATTAATCACGATCCTGCTTAAAGCGCTTGACGTAAAAAGCTGATTTTTGGAAAACAGATTGACTTTGGGGTGTAGAGGTTCGATAAGAAGGGGTTTCTCGAATTTCAAATTCCAAGAGGGCGAAAACGCCTCTCAAATATTACAGTATTTGTTATTTAAAAAACGGTAAGTCTTTCGGGAAAACGCTTGGGCAAGCATAATTTATTTGTTTTTTTAACATATTTTGAAATTTTTTAAAAAATCATACAGGGTGTTCCAAAAAGTTGGGTAGTTTCTTAACCACGATTCTGCTTAAACTGTTTGACGTAAAAAGTTTATTTTTGGCAAACGGATTTTTCGAAGGTCAAATTCCAACGAGATGAAACTACCCCTCAAATATTACCAAGTTATATAATAATATCGCCATATTGTTTTTTTTCATCCTGACATAAATGTGAGAAAATTTTATCCAGTTTGTATGTTAATGGAAATTCTTACTTTGCTTTATCATCACCATACAAATGATTAATTCGGCGCGAACGAAGTCGCTAGTAGACGCTAGTAAATGATACATGATAAATGCCTAAAACGGTCAATTTAAAGTACAAAAACTGATATTTCAAGGTGAAGTCAATTTGGTAATTCTTGGTATATTCAGGTATAATCATTGTCTATATCTATAAATTATTACTCAAAACATATAGAGAATTCTCACTTAATAAATTGTAATTTATCTACAAAACTGGGAGTACTCTTATTAATATACAGGAATTGAATTCGGGAAAGTTCCGCATTAAATATTCTGCAGATAAAAATAAGTAAAAAAGTTCGTATAAGTTTATGTTCTAAAATGCTTCGATTCTGAGATACAGGGTGTAGAAGTTTCATTTTTATTTCGATTATTTCCAAATAATTTCTGAACTAAGGTCGATATTTGGATGAAAATGTGTGTCTATATTTGATATCAATTAAAGTTTTAGTTGCGTAATCGAGAGTGCGATTTTTAAATTCATTTGTTATCAACCATGGACATATTCGGCGCCGGATTGACTAACTGGAATTTCCCGTTGGGGATTCAAGCGGTAGCTCTACTGTAAAAAATGCCAAGTTGCCACATTTATTTTTTTATTTCCTGACATTATCATTCGTTTTGACACTTTGGTTTTGTATTACGCGTTTTTGGTTTAAATAAATAGTGCTGTGATATTTCATAAGCTTAAACCTGTTTACTAACAGACCTTGCAGTCGAACATTGTTCTTTTTAGAACCTCTTTTAGTGCGAATAAGTGTACAAGATAGCTTAATAGCCGTTCCAAAAAGTCATCGCAACTTTATTAGAATATTTTGAACGGGAAAGCGGTAGTAATGACCCTTTATGTCTTTTAAGTGCTGTTAAGAAAGTGAATTTTGTTAATGTAAATTGCATTGGATTCCGGTGGTGGAAGGTTTGGCCGTTCTCCACTTGGACGTTTCCTGAGAGCGCCCGCATTTTAGTTTTCTTTGTTTAACATATGTGTAAAATGCACGCGTGGACGCACCTTCCTTGCTCCAAAACAGGCAGTTTTTCGTGACGCTCGAGGGCAAAAAGAGTCGATGGCGAAACCAGAAGGATGGGCTGGCACAAGGGAGCATGCTGGCACCAATTCTTTTCAACATATACACAAATGACCAACCTATTCCAGATAACAGTAGAACCTTTGTTTATGCAGATGACCTAGCAATAACAGTTAAAGGCAAAGGGTTCGAAGATATCGAGGAGAAACTATACCGCCCTAAAAATAATGTCAACTTATTACAAAAATAATTCTTTAAAATCCAATCGAACCCCACCAAAACTAAAGTGAGTGCATTCCACCTGAATTCGAGACAGGCGACCCGCAGACTTAAGGTCACATGGGACGGGACACCACTAGAACACACAGATAAGGAGATAAGCCTACCTATCTTGGCGTCGTGCTGGACAGAACGTTGACTTACAAATATCACTGCGAAAAAAACACGCAAAAAAGTAGAAGCACGAAATTCCCTAATAAGGAAGCTGACCAATAGTAAATGGGGAGCCAAACCTATCGTGGTCAGCACTTCTGCTCAAGCTCTATGTTCCTCAACTGCAGAATATGCTTGCCCAGTGTGGGGTAGATCTGCCCATGCAAAAAAGGTGAGCATCAGTCTGAATGAAACATGCAGAATAGTGACAGGTTGTATGAAACCCACCCCCTTAAAAAACCTTTACAAGGCCGCAGGTTTTTACAAGCCCCGATTTACGCAAAAAAGCTCATGAACATACTGAGAAGCTATAACAAACCTTTGATGCTCGTCACTCAATTTTTGGCCAAGAGTGCGGCCCAGGTAGACTTAAATCCAGACGCCGCGCCATTTCCTAAGCCACCCCCTGGATGAACCTCCCTCCCACTACCCAATCAGAGAGGCCTCACCAAATGGTGTTTCTAGCGACTGGAAAACCTGGAGAATGCTCAACCGGATCAGAACTGGGGTGGCCCCAGTAAAATCCAATTTGATCAAATGGGGTTAGCTGGACAGAAATGACGACAAATGCGACTGCGACGCTTTTCAGGATATGGAACATCTTCTTTAATGTCCTGCATGCCCCCACAGATGTACCCTCGATAACCTATGGCTGGCTAAACGGGAAGCATTGGACATAGTCCATTAGTGGGTTAATAAACTATAATATAATCCGGATACAAAAAAGTAAAGTAAGCAAGTTAAGGTAAATAATAACTGTGTATATATATTTATAATTAATTTATTTTTGTTTTCTAAAATATTTTGATTAAAAGAAAATATGTAAAAGTGGGCAACGCTGTGCCGGCCAAGCTTCACGTGACTAAATTCTATTAACATAATCGAATAAATTCTATTAGTATAATTAAATAAATAATAAATTCTATTAATATACTAGAATTTAGTAATATTGTTAGTTAATATAAATATAATTTCGATTCCAAATATCTTGAGAACCATTAAAAAAAAAGGAAATAAAACATTGCAGATTTACTAAAAGACGTTAAAATTGAAGTTAATAAGAAAAATTTAGAAACAAATATACTCGTAGCGCTTTTTAATAAGAGAACTTTTTTACGTAAAAAATGGCAGAAATGTATATTTCTTTCTAATATTTTTTTTATTAAACAAGTGAGTGAAAGTTCAATAGCATGCAAGTGGACCCCTGTGAATGATCATGTGCATCAAATACTACTAATTAATTAGATATGTGCAAAAAAATTATATTTTATAAATAGGTGAACTTATCGAACAATAATTACTAGCTATCTATTTTACTTCTATCATCGTCATAAACTTGTTTTAGTTTTTAGTTGCAATAAGGATAAACCGTGTCTTTTTTAAATGGACTCGTAATATTTCGATTGCGCCACAAAATTTCCACTGCCAAAATCTGTAAGCTGGCCACAATTCCTAACAATAGAACCACCAAAGCGGGATAGAAATCCTCCAATCCTGTGTGAATCTTTATATTAGACCCTGATTTCAAACATTCTGGTTTCTTCGGGTGCCAAAATTGGTACTCCCTGTTCAAAACCCCGTTTTCGCTGAGTCTGTTCAAGCTAGAACAAAAAAAGAACCTAATTAATGTGATCCAATGACTAAAGAATACAAGGACACGTAACGCCCATATACGGACTGAAGCAGAAGTTGCGTTGTTAGAGGCAATTTTTTTGATTTAGTGAATTTTAGTGATTTTTAATAATTTGTTATGTGTAGTGAACTTTAAACTTTATTACAATGGTGATTTGGTTTGGTCGCCCAGGAGTTACGTTCATAGGTAAATAAATAGCTCACTCCACCTTTTTAGCGATTTCTTATTGAATTTGATAACCATTTTTCTGATATTATGTGTACTTGATAAGTACTATATATGTCGATAAAGGATATATATGTCTTTGTACCTTTTCTTTACATTTTAATAACTTTTTAATACGTTTTTTTTTGCAATTAATTACTATGATACCACCTAAATAAACAGCATACGCCATAGGCGTAGTCAAAACATTTATCAGAAATATAAATATATCTTCAAGCAGCTAAGTTAAGAAAAATATGTGACACGGCACTGTTTGGAGTATACTAACCATTTGGTCTCGGGTATTATTGGTCCTTGTATTCTATAGTCATTAGTATGATACCACTTAATAATGTGCAATCAACAGGGTCCTGGTTATTCGTAGGTCGGCCCTTATATATATTCTTTATTTAAAGGTTATATTTCTGACGGATGCACTCATAATACCAAAAGGAAATAAAACATATGCAGATTTACTAAAAGACGTTAAAATTGAAGTTAATAAGAAAAATTTAGATACAAATATCAATAGTGTCAGAATGACAAAATCAGGTGACCTTCTTCTCACAATGGACAAGGAAAGAGGAAATGCCGGAGAAATGGCTGAAGCATTAAGGGGAATTAACGGAGAGGGTTCCATCAAATTAATGTCTCAACAAAGGCTAAGTACAGTAATTCACATAAAATACCTGGATGCCATTACCACTAGAGAAGAAATTGAAGCTACGATAAAAAAACATATAGGGTCAGACGAGAAATTACGAATTAGTTCTATCAGACCTTCTTATAGAGAGACACAGGCTGCTACGATACTTGTTACACGAGAAGCTGCAGACAAACTTTTGGCGGAAAGAAGAATTAGGATTGGACTAACTAATTGCAGAATACACGAGAGAATTAAAATAGCAACTTGTTATAAATGTTGGTCTACTGGTCACCAGGCGAGAGATTGTATGGGAACAGACCGAACGGACTTATGTCGAAACTGCGGCGAAGTAAATCACCAATTTAAAGAGTGCAAAAACACATCTCACTGTCCAGTATGTAATAAAGCAGGGCATAAAGCATTAACAATGAAATGTCCGGTATACCGAAGGGCTGTTAGTAGAGAACTCCAACCAAATCATCAAAAATAGTAAAAACATTACAAATAAACCTAGGTAGAAGATATGCGGCTCACCACTTGATGTCACAAGTCATAATCAACGCAAAAGTAGACATACTAATATTGAGTGAACCAAATAAGAACATCGTTAAAGAAAATAATAACTGGTACAGAGACGATAACACAGATGCAGCAATATGTGTCATAAATACAAAGCAAATGGTTGAGAAGAGTGGACAAGGAAATGGTTTCGTATGGGTAGAATTTCCAGAGATGATTATCTATAGTTGTTATATCTCTCCAAATGTAAGTATGGAGATTTTTAACCAATTCCTGTGTAAACTTAAACAGAGTATAGTATCCCATAACGAACCATGCCTAGTGGGAGGTGATTTTAACTCAAAATCTATAATGTGGGGATCACCATTGAACGACTACCGAGGGGATATTTTATCAGAATGGTCCGCCGAACTAGATCTAATAGTTTTGAATGAAGGAGAAACTCCTACTTTTAGGAGAGGCATGACAGAGTCTTATATCGATATCACTTTTGCAAGTAGTATATTGGCAACACGAAATATAGGCTGGGTAACATCGGATGAAGAAAGTCTCTCCGATCACAATTATATCTTCCTTAATATTCCGGATGTCAAAAGTAATAATGGTTATTTCAAGGCTCACACAAATAAATGTTCTACCAGCATTGATGGCGGATCGAGTACAAGACGAAAAAATGGAAATATTCGCGGAAAAGTTAAAACAATATATTACCAGACAAGACACAAATATTTCACCTTACACCTTTATGAATCTTATCAGAACAGCCTGTGATAAACCTTTCAAAACAATTAGGATAAGGAATGATAAAAGAAAACACGTATACTGGTGGTCAGCGGAAATCGCGAATATTATAAAGGAATGCCAATTAAAGAGGAGACATTTTACACGTAAAAATAAGCTACAACATGTGACGGAGGAGGAAAAGAATTATGCAAGAGATCAGTATAAAGAAAAAAGATCTGAATTTAAAAAAGCTATAGAGAAGGCGAAGAAAAGTGCACAGATAAAAGTGCTGGAAGAAGTTGAAAACGATATATGGGGAACTGGTTATAAAATAGTAGCAAAATCATTTAAACTAAAACCACCTATACATCTCTCTGAAAAAATCAGAATAGAAGAAGCCCATAAATTATTTCCAAAATCAGACAAACCAAACTGGGAAAACATATCTATCCAACAACAATACATACCAATGTTTACTAAAGAAGAACTCAAGAATGCGGCCATGATAATCAAAACCAAAAAAGCACCTGGGCCTGATCAGATACCACCGGAGCTGATACGTTATATAGCAGAAAATTTTCCAGACGATTGCTTATTGTTAATGAACCAGCAATTGCTTATCGGGGAGTTTCCTAGTGTCTGGAAAAGAGCCAGACTGGTACTCTTAGAGAAGCCGAGTAAATCAGAACAGCAAGTTCCGAGTTTTAGACCGCTTTGCCTACTTGACTGCATGGGGAAACTATTAGAGCATTTATTAAAAGATCGCATAAATGAGGAGCTAAACCAAAAAGGGGGACTAGCTAAGAACCAGTACGGGTTTACAAAAGGATCTTCGACAATTGACGCTATATCGAGTGTGTTACAAGAAGTCAAAAGAACAAAGGCTTTTGCACCCCAAAATAGAAAACAATGTCTTCTTGTAACTATATATGTTAAAATGCATTTAATTCGGCGCCATGGGATGGCATTGTAAAAGCTCTTAAAAAAAAGAACATTTCACCGTATCTAATCCGAATGATAACTAGCTACTTCACTGAGAGGGAACTGCATATATGTCAAAATAACGCAATGGATATATCGTGTGGAGTACCGCAAGGCTCTGTCCTCGGACCATTGTTATGGAACATCTATTATGATGAGGTGCTTCGATTAGAGATGCCACCGAATGTATTACTTGTTGGCTATGCTGACAATTTGGCAATTGTGGTAACCGCAGACTCAGAGGCAGTTATAGTAACGACAGCAAATACTGCTATACATAGGATTGTAGAATGTATGAGGAACTTAAAACTAAAAATAGCACCAGAAAAAACAGAGACGGTGATATTGTCTAGTAAAAGAGTAATGCGTCAGATTTCCATTAACATCCTTGAAACCGAAATATTTACAAAGCCGGAAATAAAATACCTGGGGGTGTTTATTGATCAAGGGGCTTTTATGAAGAAACACATAATCAATACATGCGTAAAAGCTGAAAAACCTGCGAAGGCTTTAAGTTGGTTAATGCCGAATCTAAATGGACCATCATCAGTGAAACGACAAATGCTAAGTGCGGTAACACATTCAATTATGTTATACGCAGCACCAATATTGTATGAAGTCCTAAAGGTAAAAAAATACATCGCACCCTAGATTTTTGGCAAGAAAGATGGATGGAAATAAGTAGTGTTGGAACTTGGACAAGAAGACTGATTCCAGATATACGACCTTGGGTTAATAGAAGACACGGAAATCTGAATTTCTTCTTAACACAACTGATAAGCGGCCATGGCTGTTTCATGTCATACCACTATAGGTTTAAAATAGGAGAATCACCAAGCTGTCACTATTGCGAAAACACACAAGATGATGTAGAGCATACTTTTTTCTCGTGTCCCCGTTGGATAGGAGAGAGAAGGAAACTGGAGTACGAAGTAGGACTGAAATTAGACCCGAACAATATAATAGAACAAATGTTAAAGTCAAGAGTTGTATGGAATTCCGTATCCGATATGGCAAAAAAGATATTAGAAACAAAAGAGGCAGACCTGAAGAGAAGACAGAAGGATTAAATAGAAGACAGCGCTGCATGCTGACGTAATACTTACCGGTAGTTTCAACATGTAGTGAAGAAAAGGATGAGGTTTTTTAGTGGGTGGAAATCCCACACTATCTGTCATGAACATCCGATAGATGTCTTTAAAAGTTTTTTCCTCTCCTCAAAAAAAAATGACCAAATTTTCTTAGAACTAGGTGTATTTTTGGTATTAATTAAAATTAGTCTATAAATTCTATTGTATTGTTTGCTTTTTATTAAATCTTAAGTAGTACCAAACGTCGAAGACGTCCTTCAGTGGTGAATGCTTTTGGTAAATACCATGAACGTGTCTTTGGCCCCACATTGGTACTTCTCTAAGTTCGCAAATGGTGGCTTCATCAAAAGTCGCTTGTATGATGGGGTAGGCAACTTCCAAACCAACGTGAAAAGCGTACTGCCCTTCCTTCATCAACTTGAGGCCTACTTCTGCTTCTAAGAAACCTGTCTCATTATCAGTCGACCTCTTGGTGACTATTCTGTAAATTTGTTTGGTAACGTTGTCAGTTGACCTCTATAATATAAAATAGAATTTTTTTGAGTTTTTTTAACCTATTATATATTATTAGTATAGCGTCAAAGTTATACTATAAAGATACATTCAGACTGAGAGCGTCGAGCGTCGCGTCTCAATTCACTTAACTAAATTAGACCGTTCAGGCAGACAGCGTCGCGTTTGGCGTTGCGCTAGCGTCCGCTGAGCGTCGGGGTTCGAGTTCAATGGGGCGGACGCGACGCTCGACGCTCTCAGCCTGAATGTACCTTTAAAGGAAAACCAGCAGGTAAATCAAGCAAAAAAAGAAGAGAACCAAGCAACTCGTTGAGTTAGTACGTTTGTCTCTCTCTAACAAATCTCTATTACGCTATTTTAGTTCCTATACTCTATTTTTGTAACGTTTTGAACATTAAATCGTGCTTTTGTCAGTTTGGAGAGTAATTGAACTACCTCCTACCCCTGACCTTTCATATACAATATCTGGCCTTTCATATAATATATATATATATATATATATATATATAATATATATATATATATATATATATATATATATATATATATATATATATATATATATATATTTTTATACGGTTTCTCGTTAATGAGTAGAGGTACAACATGATCGAAAAAAAACGGCATCAGCGATGGTTATAAAATGAAGATCGCTGTCATTTTATATGTAAAATTATACGGGGAATAAAAAAAAATAACATTATACTGGGAAAACAAGCCAACTAGACGCCGTTTTTTTATCATACGTTATAAAGATGCGGTTTTAACGTTACTATTCTACTTTTTTTGAAACTAAAGATGCTACACGCAAATTTGTCCTAGCCCTTTTACTTAGTTCTTGAAATACAGGGCAAATTTAAAATTGTTGAATTTTAGACCTCCCTCGTATTATTGCGGTTATTTTATCATCGAAAAGGTGAAAACTGAATCCCATATGGTTTTTTACGAGGGGTGTCTCACTCGGGTAAAAAATGTACACGTACTGCCAAAATAATAGTGAGACACCCCTCGGTTTTTTATATAGAATTCAGTGGCGTAACTAATTTTTAATTGAAAATGTCAAAAATTGACATATGCTATATATGTCATCTTATTCAGAATGTAATTCAATAATCAAATCAAGTAAAAAATACCAAGGGTGTCATTTAAAAATCAAAAGTTGTAGTCGACCGAAAGTAATTGAATACGTCAATCAATCCTAATTTATGTCATATTTAATTTAAATCTACATTAATAATTTATGTCTAACATACCAAGTTAGTCTCGTTATTTTATCTGAAAAAATAAAAAAGTTACAGAGGTGAGTCACTTTTGAGACGCACCCAGTATAGTATATTATATTTTTAAAAAGCTCATAACAAGGCAAATAAAACAAAAATATCTAGATTTTCCAGGATAAGGGATCCAGATACCAGGTATTCCATTAAAAAAAACATAAGTTTGAGTCATAATTCGAAAATGACAGCTCCCAGCTAAAAATTAGTTACATCACCGGATTTTACGTGAAAAACTCTACAGTATCCAGTTGTGACAGGAAAAGTTAAAAGTTGTTCAAGATTCGAAGTGGGTCAAAAAATACATGTTCAAATGCGCCCTCCATTTTAGAAACTAAGAAGGCTAGGACAAATATGAGTGTAAGTAAGTAGCACAGTGATTCGCATCTTTGTATCTCTACTCATAAACGAGAAACCCCATAAAACACACGAAAATGGGATACTTTGTACAAAAAATCAATAAATGAATCACATTGTATAATAGGTTACACTCACCGACAAATATTGTCTATCGTACAATGTGTCCTGGCATCCAATTTTAAATCCTTGATCCAGGATTCCTTGTAAGTTAGTTATAAGTGTCGTAGGGACGTTCAACAAGAACGACACCAAACTAGCAGAATAAAATTGATACACTAGAGAGCCAAGCAACAAAGTGAAAATAATCACTATTCTTCCAGAGACGAATGGTGGACTACTGAGCACACCTTAAAAATATTCAAGTAAACATGTATTGTAGGTATCTATTATATTTTAACATATTAGGTAAAATGGAAAGTATCTATTGCATTTAGTTACCTTGTTGGCAAAAAGCACCAAACGTAGACAGAACTATATATGACAGAGTGGCATCCGCTTTTTCGATAAAATTATATGCGTTCTCTAGCTTATAGCTAAACCACAACGCCATGACTGATGCAGAGCATGATATTATAATACCTATCCAGACTGATACTGACAAGGGTTTTAAAAAAATCTGGTAGGATTTTCGAGATTTGGGATTTCTCAATATAAAAGCCGCTCTAGAAAAATATAAACATCTTTCAATAATCCAATATATTTTTTTCTTTTTGTTCATGGCTTTAAAGATGCAAGGTGAGTTTCCTACGATGTTCCCTATGGACGTCTCGGAACTGGATAACTACTGGAGAAAGAGAGTTGGTTAAATGGGGAAAGAATTGCAGTCTTATGGGATCATAAATATGCCACTGTCAGATTTTTGAAAAAGTTCATGGCTTACTAGATATTTAGAAGAAGACAAATTTTACCTATTTTAAAAATTGTCTCTAATTCCATTATAATCTATTTTAGACAAAAAGTTTTCAGATAAAATTTGTAGATAATCACATCCCTAATGAGTTTGCGTTCTCCGATTTTTTCTAAAGCCTGTCATTTTTGGCATATCGTTAGTGAAACGTGACAACCTGCTAACTCCTTTTTTGATTTTAAGTAAATAATACGTTTAATACCTACATCATTTTTACGTAAAATTTTTAACGAAATGTTGAGTTTGATTGTTCCCCAACAAATATTATTGTTATCCGTTATTTACCATAATAACGAATGAATATTCTTGCTACATGTGTATATATTTTTTGTATCGTTTCTTTTCTCTCCTCTAAAATTAGGAATAATGGAGTTAACAGTTTATCACATTTCACTGACGATATGACTCAAACATGTTTTAAATGGAAACCATTGTTGGTCATGACTTCATAAAAAGCACCATTTTTTAAGCTTTTCATCGATATGCTATAAATTTTTTTTTTCAAAAAATTACTGAGTCATATCCAATTCTTATTTTTCTTGACTAATTTCAGTTAGTGCATGGTATTCTAATTCTGTTATGATTTATAACTTATAAAAAGACAGAATGTATTATTAAACGGTTCTTTACAATTATTTACAATTACATTACACAAACTAAAACTTAAAAAAATAATATCACTACGTAAACTTTAAGTTAGGTATTTTAGAAAATGTTCAAAAAATCCTCCATTATTTTGAGTGTATAAATACAACTTTTTAAAACTGAATTACTAGCTATTCTCACAGAACGACCAGTCAACTTAATTAAACTTCTCCCATACCGCCTCTTCGAGTGCCTCTCGAAGTTCTTTTGTAATAATGAAAGTCATATTCGAACAACTCTATTGATGCGCGAGTATCTAAATTTAACTTTTCTAACATGTCTTGAAAACCGTTCTCTAAAAAAACATGTTTTTTAGAGACAAAGACACAAAAGACACAAAGTTTGGCTGACAGCAAGTGACAGTTTGACATTTCCAGACATTTCTGAGAGCAACGTCGATTGAACTTGTTTCCATGGCTAACTAAGTGAAATTGTTTAAAAATTCTAAGAATTGGCGGTAATATAATTGTTGAAAAAAAACATATTACAGCTTACATCGCTGGAAAGCTTAAAAAATGGCACTTTTTATGAAGTCATGGCCAACTATGGTTTCCACTTAAAAAAAATGTGTTATACATAATATGTTAAAAATGACAGGCTTTAGAAAAAAACGGAGGACGCAATCTTACTAAGGAAGTGATTATCTACAACTTTTATCTGAAAACTTTTTGTCTAAAATAGACTATAATAGATTTAGGGACAATTTTTAAAATAGTTGACATTTGTTTTTTTTTCGAAATATTTAGTAAGCCATGATGAAATATTTAGTAAGCCACTTTTTCAAAAATATGAAAGGCGTATATTTATGACCCCACAAAACTGCAATTCTTTACCCATTTAACCGATTCTCTATCTCCAGCAGTATGTTTCCGAGGTACCCATTGAGAACATCGTAGAAAATTCATCCATAGGTATAGTATACCAGGTCAAAGAAACTAAACAAAAAAAATATAGTCCAATATATTTAGAATTATAATAACTTATAATAATAAAATTATTTCAATTAAAATTTTGTTCTGATAGTAGGCTTTTACCCAATGTACCTTAAATTCCAGGTTTTTCTTCCGTAAGTAACGTGAGGCAATCTGTCAATTTTGACAAATACTGGAGATAAACCCACGTCGATTTCCTTTCTGGATAAAGCTCCTACAAGCCCATCGAAATATCCATTGGGCTGGATATATCCCCAAGACTTCGACATTTTTACATCAAAACTAAAAATAGGTAAATCTTACTATAGCACACTGTAGAACGATAAAAAGATTTCAGATAAAGCAATCCTTGACTTTTATAATAATTATAAATGTTCTAATACAGTCTCCCATAAATCGGCCGTTACTGGATGCGAATTCGTAGGAGAATTTGTTCGTACGAACTCCACCGGATTCGTAAAAATCAAACAAATAGGTGCTTTGACATGTGGGATTGTTTATTGTCTACGACTATTTCAGAGCTGCAAGCTCACAGAAAACCTAAATCTTTTTTGATTTAAATGATTCTAATGTCTTAAGTCGTTTGATTTTACGTCATTCCTCTAAAGCTGACTTAAGACTTAAAATTTAAGTCTTTTTGAAAATGACTTGTGATTTAAAGCTTTATTCCGAAATAGAAAAAGATTTGTCTTTTTATAAAAGAGTTAAGTCAGATATTTATATATATGTTTATGATAAATTTTTAACAGCAGCATTCCTTTTAAAACTGATAGGCGACAGCCAAGCAGCAGTATAAAAAAACAATGCTTGATTCGATACCACTAGCAAATAAAACGTTAGTTTTTCGATTCGTAGTGAGTTTGTTGTCTTTCAAGTGAATCCCTGACTCCGTTATGTAGCCCGAAAGACGAACGAAAGGAATTTATCTCGAATATATTCAAGATTACCTTAAAATCCTCCAGGTCTTAGCTTATGCCATCGATGGACATAGTGATCAAAATTGGTTAAATTTTATAAAAAAAAACTATTTTTGCGTTTGTAGTTGTTCTGAAAATTAACCGTTTTATTCAATAAATTAATAGTATGATACTAGTAAGAAAATCGCTAATTGGTAATACAAGAAAATTAATAATAACATTTAAAAAAAGGTACTTAAATTGATTTCTGGTTGTCTTGACTTGAGGGTAATTATATTGATTTAAGTCATTTTACTGACTTAACTTGCAGACCATTATGATTTAAGTCAAAAATAGAGACTTAAGTCATAAAAACGACTTAAATAACGTTATACTGGTTTAAGTCTTTACAAAAATGACTTGATTTGAAATAAAATGATTTAAGTCAAAGAGTTAAGACTTAAATCATTTGAACTTTATGTTGAATTTGACTTAAATCGTTTTGATTGTAGAAATGACTTAAGACTTGAGACTTAAGTCTATTTAAAACTGACTTGTTGCAGCTCTGGACTATTTCTTACGAATTGGTAAATATGATAAGAAATCGTAGGCGTACAAATTATCTCCAGTATTGGTTTATGGTCTTCTTCCCAAGTCCTCTTGCCTCAAACCTTTGCTGGCCCTAAAACCTTCGGCAGTATGAAAGTGTCTCTCTATAGAGTTTAAAGCTAGGATATGGAAGCGTTTCTGATGCTTTATATGGTACGTAAATATATCTATGATATATTTCAAGTTTGAAAATAAGCGTTCTTCACTAGCTACTGTCACCAGTACAATCAACATTACTTTTATTATAATTATTAGATCATCATCATCATCATCATCATTGTTTCCTTTAGTCCCTAAGTGGAGCATAGGGCTTCAGTGAAAATCTTCCATCTTGTTCTGTTTTCAGCAATTTTCTTAACTTCTGGCCATGATGTTCTTGACTTTGCTAGCTCTTCCATTACGGTTCTGCGCGATGTTTGTTTTGTCTTTTCCGTTGTTCCTATGGGTTCCAGTCAAGGGCATTTCTTGCGATGTTGTTGTTAGAGAGTATGCCCCATTATGCCCTACCTATCCCCATTTTCTTATGATCACTTCTTTGCCTATCTCAGTTTGGCCAGTTAAATGCCATAGATCTTCGTTTTGGATAGTGTTCGGCTAAAATATGCAAAGAATTCGTCGCAAGCAGAGGTATATTAACAAATGTTTGTAGCTTTAATGTTAGAGTTTTGGTCACTGTACCACTGTGCTCCAAAACATCGCCTGGTTCTACAATTAGAAAACAGGGCGAGTCTTAAATAAGTGCAAATATTTTAGGGGTAGTATATTTTGAACATTTTGAACCGTGAAATACGATAATGAGTTTTTTTTTTCGTGTTCCAATTGTGTACTTTTTCGTGTCATTTACATTGTCAGTTGGTACGATCCAAGTACACTTTGATCTTGTCAACTAGGCTTAAACAAACGCGTCCGGTTTAACCATACCGGTCGTACGAAGTTGTAAGAGTTGTTTCGTCTGAGTTCGTATGAACACATTCATTGAAAAAAAAATAGCATCCAATATAACAGCCGGCTAAGAATTATTTATGTCATCAGACAAAGCTGCTTCATCACAAAACTTTTTAATCGCATAGTATCACTTCACTCTAAAACTTTGAGTTTTACCAATTTACCTAACGTTATAGTAGCTTCCGCAGTACGTCATTAATCGATTATGGAATCTGTTGAACGTGTTCCATTCCTTATCCCTATTGCTTTTCAAATATTCTTTCAGTGTCCCATCAAAAGGATCAGGTAACTAAAATAATTATAACATGTAAAAAACTACTACTATATACTGTATAGTAGTGATATGATATTTACTAGTAAAACTAAAATTCCTGAATATTGCCTTATCTTAACTTTGTATCTCATTCTAGACACATTGTATTCATTATAAGAGCAAATCAGAAACCTCTGGAAAGAGCATTACAGCATTACAGCCATATCCTTAACCAAGAAAACAACCCCAATATGGAAGCACTAAACACAATACCTCAGTATACCAGCCTCGATGTATTAGATACCCCAATAACAGAACAGGAAATAAAGGCCTCCATAAAACAGATTCCGGCGGAAATCTAAGTGTGCAAGTAAAGAACTTATTGGTAATTAATGCTCTCTTCGATGTCACATGGAAAGCGGAGAGGTACCTCAGGACTTTTGCAACGCGAATATAGTGAATATATTTAAGAACAAAGGAAGTGCATCAGACTGCGGAAATTACCGGGGAATTTCACTATTGGCTATCGGAAGAAAAATTCTTGCAAAAATTATGTCAAACCGCTTGCATCTACATATAGAAAAAGTCCTTACAGAATCGCAAAAGGGTTTTCCCACTAACCGCGGCACTGTCGATTCCATATTTTCCATCCGCCAACTATAGGAAAAAGTCAAAGAACACCAGTCTAAACTTTATGTTGCATTCATCGACCTAACAAAAGCCTTGGACTCTGTGAACAGAGATGCACTTTGGGCAATTATGACAAAGTTCGGAGTACCCAACAAATTTCTTACAGTGTGTAACAGCCTCCATAACAACAAGTCAAGAGTGTTACCATCATGGATCACTGAGCGATCCCTTCCTAACAAATACAGGAGTTAGGCAGGGATGTGTCTTAGCGCCTCTCCTATTCAACATATTCATGGCAGCGCTGTCCATTATAGTGGACAGCAAACTGCAGGAGAGAGGATTGGGCATTAGATACGGCGGCCGGCGGCGGCGGCCGGCGGCGGTTTGTTCAACATAAGAACATTACTACAAAGCTACATTAACTACAAAATTCATCCCAGAACTTCAATACGCTGCATAAAGTTGCAACAAAGACACCTTATACAACTCTTAAGAATCAAATGGTTCCATCATGGTCTCAAACGCATCGGTTCTTGAAAAAGGTAACTGTGAGAGTATTGAAGTCATGGTTACAAAATCCCGACTAAGATGGGCTGGTCACGTATGCAGAATGCAAGAAAACCGCATACCAAAATCACTGCTTTACGGTGAGCTTGTAGACGGTAAGAGGAGGCCAGGTGGACAACTCAAAAGGTACAAGTATATTTTCTACGAAAACTTAAATAATTAACGTGCAGAATGAGTGGGAAGAAGCAGCTCACAATAGAACTCAATGGAGAAAAATTGTAAACTCTGTTAACAGCCACAACCAAAAAGTTAAGAGGCAACAAAGGAACGAGATTTTTGAATGTCCGGAGTGCGGTAGGCAGATAACATCACGTATCGGGCTTTTCAGTTACAGAAAAGCTCATGAAAGAAAACGTCTTGCATGACCATCTTCTAATGCGTGTCAAATACTCGTCAGCGTGTAATGGCAGTATGTATGTATATTGTATTCAGGTTTAACAATCAATTAATTGACTGATATAAAATTATTTCAATAAAATGAAAATATTAAAAAGATACAAGTTATTATGTAAAAGTATCAAATAAATACTTCTTTCTTCGCTATCAAAGTAATGTTTTTTGCTTAAACTTAATTTGTATCTAGGACCAAATGAAGTGTAAAAATACAATTATTGAGAAACTTACAACGACAATTCCTTTTAATGTAATTCCAGTGAGATTTCGTCTTTCAAAATACTTATTTTGCTTCAAATCTACCCAGTACCCTCTAAGTTTGTCGTAATGTCCCACCGTGGATATTTTCAAATCACCACCTTTTTTGTATGCTGGATTATACACATCATCGATAACATACTCTTCTGAAGAACCATCGTTCCTAGATCCTCTTGCTGTTTTTGGATACGCTACTTTTATTTCTGAGCTTATTTCCAAGTTTACATTCTCAAAGGTTTGCGTATAGTTGGGTGAATTGGATAAAATAAGCCAAAAATGCTTGTTATCGAAGCATTTTATATTTTTGCACTTAAAAAAAGGATTATTTTATATTGAAATAAAAAATATTTATATATCACTGTAAATGTCCGAAATGCGGTAAAACCTAGGATAAGCGCGCTAAACCTAGGATTTACCAAATAAAAATGGTAAAAGCTCGAAAACTTCTTTATTTTGCTTCCATTTCGGACTTTTACGGGACCCAAACAGTAAATCTTAGGATTTACCACACCGCATTGGTAAAAGTACGAATTATTTTTCTTATAGCAACAATATCGACAAATTAATGATGTCAATATATAAAGACATCTCTGTTTTGTTTACTTGGCAGTTTACAGGCATTGAAATTTTAACGATTATCGTTTCACGATATCGATTTTTGTAACGTATCAGTCTTATATTTGTTACTGTAAATATCCGAAATGCGGTAAAACCTAGGATAAGCGCGCTAAACCTAGGATTTACCAAAAACATTAACTAATTAGGTTATTTGGAGGGTGTTAGTGGATTGGTTGGCCTGGTTATTTGGAGGGTGTTAATGCATTGGTTAGCCTGGTTATTTTGGGGGTGTTAAGGCATGGTTAGGTGGTTATTTGGAGGGTGTTTAAGCATTGGTTAGCCTGGTTATTTGGAGGGTGTTAATGCATTGGTTAGGTGGTTATTTGGTGGGGTTGGTTGGTTTTTACTACCACTTGCTTATTCGTACTTTTACCAATGCGGTGTGGTAAATCCTAAGATTTTAATAAATAAATAAATAATTTTCGTGCTTTTACCACATGCTTTTGGTAAATCCTAGGTTTAGCGTGCTTATCCTAGGTTTTACCGCATTTCGGACATTTACAGTAACATATACATAAACTGGCTATAATTCACAAAAGAAGAGGTAAACATCAGAATACTTTTATGGAAAAACTTGTGGAATTTATATTTAAAAGTTTGAGTAAGTTAGGCTGTAACAACTTTCTGTTTGGTAGTAGAAGTTATAAAATAAAAATATTACCTGAGTTAAAAAGTTTTTTGCCCCAGGACAACTCTGATCCAGGACAACTCCCATTCTTTTTCTGTAATTCTCTTCTAATATCTGAGAAATGTTCAAATCCTTTATGTTTTTTACCAGTAACATAAAACTTTTATCGACCATCATTTTTTTAGCTAGTTTTATATTATCTTTAAAGTAAATTAAATAACATTTTTTTATTTTACTAAATATTAAATCACATTTTAAAATTTCTAATTGATACAATTTTAGATTCAAACATCTTTTTTTATACATCTTTGAAAAATGATATATATTTTTTACATTTATTACAGTTTTTAGTAGAACACACATATATTTTTAATGTCAGCTAGGTTGGCTGAAAAATCGGGTCATGTGTAGGCTTTTCATAATATGATACTTGTAAGTCGGATCTGAGCTTGGTGAGCAATAAGGATATCAATCCCGAAAGATTTTCAAAATCCCGGAATTTTCGAGATTTGAGCGACAAATCCCGGGATCCCGGGATTTAATCCCGGGTTTAAAATTATCAATGAAATACCTAATATCATAAAAAAAATTAATATAAATATAACAAAACACGAAAATTAACAAAAAACTCTTTAAAAAAATCATATGAACACCAAACAAATTTTAGCAAACAAATTATAGCTATAAATTTTTAAAAAAATAGCACAAAAATATTAATGCGTCCAAAGTTTCATCCCCCAGTCTTGAACGTATCTTATTACACAAGATCCCTGCCGAAGGAAAACATCTTTCAGATTCCCCGACTAGCACCATTTGAAAATAATTCAATTTATTGGGTAATAATGTCGGACAGTCGCGTCTTATTACTTCTTTTTGGTCTTTATCGGCTTTGTAGATTGTTGTAATGCTTTCTGCAGTTTAGCCTTTAAAGGTTCATTATCTTCTCTTCTCAGAAGTTCGATAATGGGAAGCTCAGCCTCTCCGCTGTCGCTTCGTTCCTCTTCTAGAAGTATTTAATGCTTTTGTCGAGGTCTGAGCTCTAGTCTGATTAAAAGCTTTTCTATCTCTGATTTAATTAGGGAAATATTAAGTTATTTAGTTCCGAAATTAAGCAATTTATTCTATGGCATGAAAAATCGGTATTTATATAATCCAATCCCGGGATTTTTCGAGGCAAAATTTCTTCCGGGATCCCGGGATTGACATCTCTAGTGAGCAATCAGCAAACCACACAGCCGCGAGACAGCCGAATTTTTGTCGGTTTAACCACTTTTTAGATCATAATCTTCGTTTTTTGAAGAGACTGTTTTTTTTTACTTTTTGAAAAAATAGGAGCCCAAGGTAGCTATATTTAACTGATAGTTACAGATATATTTATTGTGAAATAAAAAGAATAGTATAGAAGCACACACAATATCTATTTTTGTTGGCTCGACAATATCCAATTTTGTCTGTCTGTCCGTCTATAACACGATAACTCAAAAACCGCTAAACCGATTTTAACCAAATTTGGGACAAAAATACTGTGGCACCCGAGAATCTGGCCATTAGTTTTTGGTGGGGGTGGGGAGTTGGTAAGGGGGTATGAGAGGGGGATAAAAATTTAAAAAAATCGTTACTCCAAAATTACAGTAGCTAGCGAAACGCGGTTTTCAATTTAAGATTAGGAATAATATTTGCAACAAAATTTGTAATATCATCAAAATCAGTCAAAGTCGCAGTTTTTGAGATAAAAAAAATATCAAGTATGGGCGGCTATACATGCCTCCAGGCGCCAATTTTTTTTTAATAGATATGAGTATATGTAGGTATTGGTAGCAGGCTTTTTTTAATAAACATCAAAGTGATCCGAATATACTTTCCCCCTAAAATTGTAGTTTGAATATTACATTGAAAAGTATGTCCTCGGATTGTGATTACAAGAGGAAAAGCTTTTTATTATTGACATTTTGAGAAAAATGCATTCTTCAATAAATTTTTGCTTGTTTTAAAATGGTTAATTCCGTTTATACTTTTCCAAATTTCCATACCGTTTTAGAGAAAATTAAGAAAAACTTGTATATATATTGTTGAATTTATAGTAATTTCTCTGATCAATTTTTTGCTTTTTTTTAAAATGGTTAATAACATTTATACTTTTTCAAATGTCCATACTGTTTTGATTGAAGTCCAAGTCCTAAAAATCAAAACGCGTTTCTATGGTAATATAATTTCGTTTTCATCTTTGATAAATTATTGTTATCATTGTTATTTGTTATTGATAGAGTTATAACTTTTGTTTTAACCAACGTCACATTTTTTGCTGTTTTAAAATGTTAAAGAAGCACAAAATTTATTTAATTCAATGCTAGGTAAAGGGTGATAGAGGAATCCTGGGGAATCCAGCGCACGGGGGAATACCGCGCACGCCGCTGTAAAAAAAACTACAACTAGTAATACCCCAAGCAACACAGATAGTTCCAAATCCCTTCGGTTTAAGACTGGCTACCAAAACATAGTCCCTGGGTGCACCCTGTTACCTATTTTGTCACTATATCCGGTAATACCACTGCAAAGTATTTTTGGATAGTATCTGTTACCACCCTGTTACTAGTCATTTGGAATTTAAACACCCAAAATTAATGTAGCAAATGGGTTGTTGCGTCTAGTAACTGGGACTACGCAAATCCTTTCATTGTTACCACTAAGTGGCAAAATCTACATAGTGACAATAAATACGGAACGGCTACCAGCCTGTGCTACTAAACTGGGTGTATGAAGTACTTGTTACTATATAGTCCCATGCTTAGTCGCAGAATAGTCGCAGTACCCTATATTTTGGGTCTTAAAGTTACGAGGCATTTGGGTACTAATTGTTGGTCCCAAAATAGTAGCTGCAACTATGGTTTGTTACTATAAAGTAACGGGTACTATACTCCTATTGACGTCTTGCTACTATAAAGTTGTGGAAACTAAAAAATATTTCTTTATAGTAGCAGATCGCGTATTTACCCATCCTGTCCGTTACCACAAGAATAAAGATCAATAAAATTGTTTGTTCACTGCGCTGCTAGTGGAACTTTCTAGACAAGTTCACCAGGATAAAGGGTTTATTGGATTAAATATAGAGAAGTATGACTGGGCTTTGATATGACAATAAATTATTTTAAATTTATTTTTGAAAATTCATATACATATTTTCAGAAAATTCATTATGCATAATTGTCGTATTTTCTATATATTTGTAAAGTTCTTATAGCTACATTTTTCTAGGAATGTCGAGTTGGTGACTACTGATGAATTTAAAGATAAAACAGAGCTCAGAGAAGAAAGTAACATTGGTTCCTGACTAGCCACTGACGGTCTAACTAGCCACATTGCTTTAACAGATTTACTTGGTATACTAAAAAATGAAGGCTTAACATCATTGCCAGGAAACAGCAGGACTTTATTGAGTACACTGAGATATTGTGCCATTGGTACAATGGAATAAGGACATTTTAGTAGCACGTTTATCCGAAGAGACCAACCTAGAATCGATGTCTCTAATTTTTAGTGTTGACGGCTTGCCTCCATTTAAGAGTTCTCCATTAAAATTTTGGCCGATACTCCTAAAAATGCATGAATATCCTTGCGATCAACCTTTGGTGGCAGCTATTTATTGTGGCAAGTCAAAAGCTCCATTACAAGAATTTTTACATGATTTTGTAACAGAATTAAATGAGATTTTGGAGACTGGAATTGAAGTAAATCAGATTAGGGTGAAAGTAAAAATTCGATTTTCTCATTCATCATTTTTTTTATTCATTTGTTTTTGGTCACTTCATGTTTCACCGGAAAAAACAACTTTTGATTCTTAAATGGCACCCTAAATATTTTTTGCTTAATTCAATAGAAAATGACACTCTGAATAGAACGACTATCATAATATGACTATCATAACATGACATCATAATATGACATTTTCTCATATGGTTTATTTGAAATTGTAACATTGGTTCATAACGGCAATTTGACTCGAAATATAAAAAAGGAATTATTTATTTATTTAAACGAATTACGAAATTGTTCGTAAAAATGCTTTTTTCAAATATGCTAATAAGTCATCCTCGTTCCATTTGAAAAAATTAAGATATGATTAAAAATACAATTTAGGCATCTTTTAACCAGTCAAGACAAGACACGAAAAACATAAAAAGATCAAATATATTTTTCCAAGGTTCCTAGATAAACAATTAGTGTTCTTAAATTGTTTTGAGATGAAAGGTAGGCGGAACTTTATAGAGACATATGGAACTATATTGTCACAGAATGCCTGATTGTCCGACTTTTTGGGTGTTCAAAGTAGCTTTCTAGTTCCAATAGTTACCATAGTGTACAAAATTTAAATAAATTTAAGAATAACAAAGTTCCAAAGTAGTAACTGATACTACAAAGTAACTTTTGGGTAGTAACAACTTAATCACTGGAAGTAGCGGATCTTTTAAAGTAAAAAATGGGACTTCCCTGCTACTTCATAGGGAAGAGCATAACTTTATCGTAGCGAAGTGTGCGTCAGCCATTTTTTACTGTCAGATATTTTTTAATTAAATTTATTTGTTAATATATTTTCATTTTTTCTTTATTTTCCCAAATTTTATAGTGCTTTAAGCATTTATTTTTCCAATTAGAACTCGAATACACTTTCGTGCATTACGAAATATTATTTTTAATATTTTTGATATTATTTTTTGTCCTTAAATATCTACAAAATTGAATTAATTCGATGGCGCGTTAAAATATTTCCATCTAACTCGGTAATATTTGTCAGTAAAGTGACGTGCGTTATTATATTAGTCCTGGAAGTGTCCGAAATACGCGATTAAAAACCATCATTTTTCTCATAAACATAACACGCCATTATTAACTTAACTTTAACATGGCCATGCACCGCGGCTGTCATATCATATTATTATTTTATTTCTAAACGTTTTTTTAAAGTAGAGGTCGCTAGAAGAATATTTTGCTACTTCCTATATAGTAGCAGTTACCAGGCGGCTACGTAGGGGCGACCAGGCCGCTACGTAGCAGGATAGTGGCCGCTACTACCCTTTCACTTTATAGTTACGAAGTATAGTGGCAGCGTTAGTCCCTAGGACCACCCGGTATACTACCCAGTTACCCTAAATTTTTCCCCATTTTAGTAACAGTTACGTGGC